TGAACCTGCCCTGGCAAGGTGCGAGTCGGGGCCTTGGCCACTGGATGGAGCTCTGATACGTGTTAAATGTACTCCTGGTCTTTGCTGTGCATGTTTAGGAACAAGTTTTACAAAGTTCCTTTTCAACTCTCCGGGTTGAGAGCTCCAGTCTCATTTGGGCACTCCATGAAAAGGCTGGATTGTAAGTGGTAGTGGCACGGCTGGATTGTAAGTGGTAGTGGCACATCTGAAAATCCTCCAGTCTGCTACTTCATTGTATTTGAAGCGGTAGAGTGATAGTCTTTTGAGGAGCTGCTTAAAATTATTGGCACACACCCAGCCTTCTAGTTCCATCTCTGGACAAAACGAATCACCACAATTACTGTTCAGGGCAGAGATCATGATTTATTTGGCTTTCGACAACAGGTTGTTTTTCTTTTTTCCTGCCTGTTCAGTTTTGGTCTTAGAAGGAGTACTAAACATACAGTGTGTTTTTGAGAGAAGAGCAGGACACAGTGCTGAGGGCTTTAAGGAATCATGTTTTGAACCTTTTCATGCAGTGTGAAAATCGTCGTTAATACTAAGTCTGGTAAGCGCACGTTGATTGCAGAGGCGCAATACCAGCATGCTGGCCCCTGCTGCTGTCTTCCAGTGGGGGGCTGAGCCCAACAGCTAATGTCAGTTGTGTTCATTTCTGCTCTCCATTTGTGAGCTGTTCTCTGGGTGACAGTGGTGTAAGAGAAAGGCAACGTGAGAGTGGAGGGAATCTGTTCGTCAGGAGAGGAGGCCTGGTTTGAAAGCTGCTGCCTGTTTCCTGGTTAATTGGTGCTGGGAAGTCTGCCAGCAGGTGGCATGGCTGTCCAGCTGGACTGCTGTGGAATTTATTTATTTATTTATTTTATTTTTTTTTTGTTTTTACCTTTGGACACCGGCTTTGCACTTTCTGAAACCCTGTAATTAGCCTGCAAAGACCTAATTAGGTGCTGTTTGTGGGGAACATTCGTTACTGCTGTCCTATGAATTTAATCCAGTCTTTGTTGATTTCTTGCTCTTGGCTCTGCTGTGGACAGACAATAGTCTCTCCTGCTGGTGCTTGTGTGCCGCAGGCAGAAGGAAGCCTTTAACTTCTAAGTAGTTGAATGCAACAGGACCAAGTTGCTGAGAGCCAGTAGGGACCTAGAAGGACCAGGTGTTCTTGCACCATCGCTGCCTGGAGCTGCTGAGTTCTTCAGAAACTGCACCCTGCTCTTCTCCATCTTGAATAATTTCAGACCTCCAGTGCCAGAACATAGAAAAAAATACCCAACGGAAACCTGAGGAGTATTTCGCTGTTACTGCTTCATACCACATCTGGTTATCTAAATAGCCTTCAGACTATATTAGGTGCAATCTGTTGCTTTAGGCAACCTGACGCTGCAGAGAATACGGTTGGAAAAGGTCCTGCACATGGACTGTGACCTGATAGGGGCCTCTGAGAATACAGCATTGTGATCACTGAACAGGTGTAACAGTAATTACATTCTGAGAGCAGATAATACCCTGATGTACAAAACACATGTGCCCTTTCCCGCACTTCTGCGGTATCTGCTACTGGGTCAGATTAAATCGATTTGGCAGAGGCAAAACA